TAAAAGTCAAAATTGAAAAACGATGTTTACAATAAAAGAGTAGGTATAAAGATGTATTGAACATCTTTATACCTATAAATAAGTGAAAAATATTTCACTTGGGGCATTTCGAAATTCAGGAGATCCAGGTTTCAATCCCGGTTGCAATAATATTTTTGACAATAAATTATTTACAGTGTTTTCTAAAGATATTTATTAGCATTTGTAATATTAAATTGACTTCAACTTCAATCTAGAACTGTGTTTCAAGACCGACAAGTAATAAAATTATATATACAAAAATATCAATAATATAATAGGAACTATAACCCGTCTCAGCCAAATATGGCCCTCTTCATTATTTATGTTAAACATTTTTCGGATCATTTTCACTTGATATTAAAAATATCTTAAATATAAGAAATTTTTATAGAATATTTTTCATTCATTATGTTGATGAATAATTTGGATTTATTATTTCTTTAATTTGTAACGTGTGTTATAACACGTAGAATATAACAATAAAATGCAAAACATAAAATAACAAAATGTAAATTGAACCAAACATTTGAGACTTTAATATTTTTATTATAATCCTTAATAATCCAGTGTTGTGCCTATTCAGCATCAAGTTTGACGATCGGAGACTCGAAAGGAATCAAATACTCGACACTTATGTAGAGATTTTTAAAATAAATTTTTAATTAAACACACTTGTTCAAATTATTATAATAAAACTTTAACAATTCTAACACTTCTACTAACTTAGTACTTTTAAACAATAGGAATCTTACTGGATGGTCAAAGTTAGATCTTTTCCGAGTCGAAATTTTAATCCTACATTACATCTACAAGATCCATTAAATTAGAAGGATTAATGTAGATTTTCGAGATCGATATTACAATAGACTGTTGTCCTCTTTTGATCCATGAATGGTTACTTATTTCTATTTTCTCCATGTCGAGAATCAAAGGAGGACTTTGTTAGAAAATCTTTCAAAAGGACTGTAAGTGCTACGGATTTTTAAGAATTGCAGGCTCCATTGAAAGTTTTGTATAAATAACTATTATTTTGTTAATATGTGAATTACAAAAACTTTTTTATTTTTTAATTTAAAATTTGTGCTGTTCTAAGCAAAATTTAATTAGAATACGCACATTTAATTTGCTTAGAACAATTTTTAAATTAAAATATAAGAAAGCCTTTTTTGTATTATAATAATTCACATGTTAACAAAATAGTGATTATTCATACAAAACATTTCTCTCATTGTACTTCCAAATGTATATTTTCTTATATCTATCTTATATATTTAATATGTATTTAATGCATGTAATTTTATTAAGAAATACATTAATTATATGTAATTTACTTGATTGCAGATAGAACATAAATAAATATTAAATAATTTAGATATATTGTTTTTTAATTAAGATTTTTAGAAGTTTTTTTAATTTGGATATTTAGAAAAACAATTTAGATATAGTGTTGGATAAATAAATATTAAATAAAAAATTTTTTTAGATATATTAATTTTTAAATAATTAGACAATTGGTTTTATTTGTTTTTATTAAATTTATTATCTATTATCGTTTGTGTAGTAATATAATTATATATTTGAACATTTATATTAATATATACTAATATAATATATCGATATTAATTTTTACTTTTTTTAGTATCTTTTTTTAAATATATTAAAAAGTAATCATTTTTGAGAAAAATATTTTATACAAATGTTGTAGGGTTGAAAATGATCTATTGACTGACTCTATCAATTTGACCTTGGATGGCGCCACTAAGGTCAAGTCAAGGTCAAATCGATTTTTTTAAACGAAATACCCTATTTTTGATTTTAGAATCTAATAGCTGAGGTCGAGAGCCAAAACACTATAATAAAGCCTCTTTTTAATTAGTACTTTTCAAGTTATGAGAGTTGAAAGTTACGGAACCGCCGGCATTAGCATTATCTAAGGTATTACGTAGAGATTGCCCGATTGGATTTATGAGTCATGTATGTGCCCGCGAATATCTGTATCTCTATCTCCTCTTCCCTCCTATCCTTTCCTTCTCATCCCCCCTTCCCTCCTACTCTTTTCCATCCTCTCTTCGTCCTTCCTATTCTTTCAACAAAGCTGGAGACTACATAAACTAGAGATCTCTCCTGTCAAGTTCACTCTTTCTGTGACCTGCGATTGAGAAGGTATACTTTTTCGTGATACTCCATTCTGAGATTGCCTATCGCCACATAGTTATCTTTGTTTATAAAATATTTATTTAAAATACTTTATAATGCTCTTACTGAACAGGAGCGTATATCCCTTTTAATGATGCGAGGATGGAGTGATCGTAGGAGGTCTTACGCACATGTGACAGAACTTTTCAATCAAACTTTTAGGAATGAGGACAATGGTGTGTGTATATCTAAATCGTCTGTTATTCGTACTGTACAACGTTTTGAAGAAATGGGTTTTGTAAAAAACCGTAATAGACAAGATAGACCAGCAATAGCAACAAATCCTGATAAAAGATTGAATGTTCTACAGTCTTTTATCGAAGATCCACGTAATTCAATTCGCAAAGTTGCACAACAACACGATATCGATCCTATGTCAGTTCATAAAATTCTAAAAAAGGAGAAATTTCATCCATATAAGATTCATCTGGCGCAGGAGCTATGTGAAGATTTTGATCGTCGCATTGAATTTTGCGAAAGTATGATGTTAAATGTCGATAGAAATCTTTTATTTGTAGTCAACATTATTTTTTCAGATAAAGCTACTTTTGAGCTAACTGGGAATGTAAATCTACATAATTGCAGATATTGGAGCGATGAAAATCCTCATTGGATACACATACCCGGAATCAGCAAAAAGTCAACGTATGAGCTCGAATTTTAAATGAAGCCTTTCTTTATTGAAGATAATTTAAACGCTGACAATTACTTAGTCATGCTTCAAGATGAAATAGTTCCGGCAATTCGAAACATCGCTCGTCAAAACTTCAATGACATTTGGTTCCATCAAGATGGGGTGTCACCTCACTACGGTTTACGAGTACGCCAATATCTGAATGAAGTTTTTCCGAATAGGTGGATAGGAAGAAGGGGTTACATTGAAATTGTATTAGTAAAGTGAAATGAATTTAAATCTCTTTTTCATTTTTTTTCAATAAAAAATATTAATCAGAAAACTATATTTAATTTATACAGGGTCTGTTAAAAGTGTGGAAATCCCTTAATATTTTGGAAACCAAGCTACTTGAGAAAAATGTTTCAAACAAAAGTTGTAGGGTTTAAAAAAATCTTTTTTTTTTTTAAGAAAACACTGCAATAAAGTTATTTTTCATTAAGTACTTTTCGAGTTGTAAGGCTTGAAAGTCTATTTTTGTTTGAAAGTTTATTTTTGCATTAAAAATCCATTTTTACGTAAAAATGAAAATAAGAGGTATAACTTCCAATGGCCTTGACCTTGACAAATATTGTCAAGGTTATGGCCCTGAACAACATTCAACAAAAGATTTCAGCCGTCGGTCGGATACTTTACGTAATGCTAATGCCGGCGGTACTGTGACTTTCAATCCTTATAACTCGAAAAGTACTTAATGAAAAATAACTTTATTGTAGTGTTTTGAAAAGCTCTTGACACCAGCTATTAGATTCTGGTATTAAAAATAGGGCGTTCCATTAAAAAAAACGATTTGACCTTGACCCGACTTTGACGATGCCATCCAAGGTCAAACCGATGTGTTCAATAAATAGATTTTTTAAACTTCCTACAACTTGTATTTGAAACATTTTTCTCAAGAATGCTTAGTTTCCGAAATATTAAGGGGTTTCACACTTTTGACAGACCCTTGTAATTGTGTTTTGTTCAACTTCAAATGCTTTTTTCGCTGTTTATATTAAAAAGAGAATTTATATAATTAGGTTTGAGATATATTACAAAGCTACCAGTGTATCTGAATATACCTAGATACACAAGTACGAGTACGTATGTATTTATAGGTATGTTCCAATATTGACAACTACAAAATCAAAGTTTGCGAGAAAACTCCAATACCCCACGTAAAACATTTCTATTAGCATTGACAAACTACACTTGAAAATTATTAGAATTAATCGAACTTAATTTAGCAATAATTAAAAAACACGGCGATAACTCACAAATCTTCTGGTATCTTTATTAATCGAATTTAATTTTACAGCCTTTTTACAACTTTTCACAGAAAACACACACAATAACAAGTAGAAGAAATCTGTTAATTACAACGATGATGAAAATTATTTATAATTACTATAATTTTTATTGATTTTCTTAACCTCGTTGTGCATTAACATTTCATACATCAGTTCGTTATAATCATCATTAGGTAGTTTAATTTTAAGTTTATGCTACATTACGCATATATATATATATATGTATATCTTAATAATATGTAATCTTTTAAATTATTTTCTTTTTTTTTTTTATAGATAAGTGTATATTTACGTTACATATTGTAAATATAAATATAGAGTAGTACAATCAAATAGATATTTAATTCATGCAGATCAAATATTTATAAACAATTATATATACATATAAAATATTTTTATGTTAAATAATTATCTTTAAATATTTTTTATCAATGAAAAATCCATATAATTACATCGAGTTAAATGAAACTTTTTAAATTATTAATTGAAAATATGAAAGCCTTATTATGAATAAAGATTAAGATGAAAAAGTGTAAATGTTATTTTTCAATTTATCAAGCAGATTAGAAGTAAACACTAGAAATAGAAGTAAGTGTAAACACTTATTAAATGGAGAAACTTATCTAGTCAACAACATATTGAGTGTAACAACTTTTTCATGCAAGATAGCACTGAATATTATCTAGTTTTTTAAATTTTAATTAGCTATATATGTATTTATGCTATACGTATATTAGCATAAAGTACAAAAGGCGATAGCATAGTACATTTCTAACATAGTACATTTTTTCTGTTACTAAAATAGCAATGATAGATATTTATAATTGTTCCCTCGAAGAAAAGTTTGTTTCTTTACATAACCGCGTGGATACACACCGGATTGTACTTATGTATTGATTGTATTCGATATTTAAACAATTCTTTCCCATTTTTCTTATACAAATTAAATTTCTGAAACAGTAAAAATGATGAGTCACAAGAATTAAAGTTCAGATAAACGTAAATTTTTTCTTATTTTATTTCTTCTATTATTTGTGACAACATTCAGATCTTGAGTGTTTGAAATTTACACGTTTAAATTTTTTGTATATTTAAAATATTTGATGTAACATCATCTTACATTTTATTAAGGATTATGTTTAAATTTTATTGAATTTTATAATTTTTCACACAAGGCGGAAATATATTTAATGAAGATTTGTTTATTCTTTTCTTTCAGTAAATATCGTTCGTTGTGATAATCAATCGACGATTGCAAACTAATGGAAATCTTGGAAATTCTATGCGGCATTTTCGCCGTAATTTTTGTTCTTTATCAATTTTTCACGTCGACCTTTTACTTTTGGAAATCATGTGGCATTCGTGGTCCACGGCCAATACCGGGATTTGGCAATTTAAAAGATGTTCTGCTCGGAAGAATAACATTGGGTAGTTATTTAATGAAACTGTGCAATGACTACAAAAACGAACCCTTGATTGGAATATTCGCTATGAGGACACCTATTCTTGTCGTAAAAGATCCAGATTTAATTAAGGATATTTTTATCAAAGATTTCTCCACGTTCGCCGACAGAGGATTCACCACTCACGAGAAGGTGTGAATACTTTAAGCAGTTTATCCAAAATTTAAATAATTTCACATACTTTTTAACAAAAATTTTGATATATTACTCCCTTACTTAAAAAATGATACAACTTAAAAGATTAAGTCGGTGTAGGCTTGCATTGCTTCTTACTCATTGTGTATATATTCACATATACCGAGTGTCTGAGACCCACCCGTACACCCCTTTTATCTCGGAAACCGAACATTTAAAAAAAAAAAACGTTTCAGATAAAAGTTGTATGGTTTCGAGATGTACATAAGATGTCATTGGTTTAACCTTGAATAGTCGTTTGAAAGTCATATGAAGGTCACGTTGATTTTTCCAAATGGTACACCCTATTTTTCATTCCATATTCTTGTAGCTTTTTTCGAGAACTTTCCAAAACACTATAATCAAATTTTTTCATTAAGAATTTTTTGTGTTATAAGACTTGAAAGTTACCGCAATGTCTTCGACCGATGGTTAAAACCTCTTGAATGTTGTTCAGGATCATGTCCTGGATGACATTTATCAAGATTAAGACCGTTGGAGATTATTGTTTTACAAGATGTTTTGTATTTTGTCAAAATATTGAAACTTTCAAGTCTTATAACTCAAAAAGTTCTTAATGAAAAAATATTTTATTATAGTGTTTTGGAAAGCGCACGAGATAAGTTATAAGAATATGTAATGAAAAATAGGGTATACTATTTGGAAAAATCAACGTGACCTTTATGACTTTCAAACGACTATTCAAGGTCAAACCAATGACACTATTTTATGTATACCTCGACCATACAAATCTTGTCTGAAACGTTTTTTTTTTTTTTTTCTAAAATGCTCTCTTTCCGAGATAAAAGGGGTGTAGTACGGATGGTCTCAGAAATGATTAGGCTGTATAATACCTGGTATTATACAACCTAATCGTTTATTAAAAGATTGAGCTTCTCAGAAAAGGAGAAAAACTATTTTTCATCTTGACAGAAAATTATTGACTAATCAAATAATACCGGCAAAAAGAACATATTCTTAACATAATCAAATATCATTAATCATTTTAATTTCATAACCCTTAAAAAATTGCACTCTTTTATTAATTGTGACGATATTTATAAAATTAAATTACTTCATTTTTTGTGATATTAATAAGGACTATGGCACACAAAAAAAAGAAGCAGTAAAATACAAGCACTAAGAAAGTCAACATGTTGAATTTGCTACTGTTTTTATAACCTTACGTCTCTTTTATTACCTTAGATCTCTACCACAGTGATTGGTCAATTCGCTTGCAAAAAAACGTCACAGTTACATCATAACAATTATGATGTCATGATGACGTGCGAATGTCTGCTTTATTACAAATGTGATGTCACAGCAATGCCATGGTGATGTGCGAATGCTTTAGCTATGTTCCAAAATTGACTGCCAGTACTGAAAATCTATAGTGCACGTAACGTAAACTGTAGCATTTTCTGTGCTGGCAGTAAATTTGGAACACAGCCTTTACATATATTATGACAGTCTTACAGTGACATCATATTTGTTTTTCTTCCTGATTATTGTGACTCTGTTGTGATGTGAATGTGACCCTTTGCTATGGGGTTTACGTTTTACTAATTTATATTCAATTTTTTTTTCGTTAATCACAGGCCGAGCCGCTGTCGCAACATCTCTTCAATTTAGAACCAAAGAGATGGCGACCCGTAAGAGCGAAGCTGTCACCAATTTTTACATCTCATAAACTGAAGGAAATGTTTTCGTTAATATCAGAATGCTCTAACCATCTTGTAGAGTATGTAGAAAAAATAGTAAACAAAGACGAACCTATAGAGTGTTTTGAACTAATGGCCAAGTATACAACCGACGTTATCGGTAGTTGCGCCTTTGGCATCGAAATGAATGCTCTATCGAATGAGAATAGCGAATTCCGCAGAATAGGAAGAGATGTATTCCATCCGTCCTGGTCAGATCTCTTACGAAATAAAATCAAAATTTTTTCTCCGTGGTTATACGATATTCTTGGTCACATCTTGCCGGACACGGAAATCACCAACTTCTTCATGCGTCTCGTCATTGATAGTATGGATTACAGAGAAGAAAATAATATCATTAGGCATGATTTCATTGATATGCTGCGCGACTTGAAGAAATATTCGGATAAGATGGGTGATATTGGTAAATATTGTCTGCCTTTATTATTTGCATGAAGATTTTTTAGGAAATTATATATGAGTTTGCGCATCTCCAACCGTGTAAATTACTATAATTCTATTAAGCGAAATGTTAAATTTCATATTATAAATGATGTGATGATTAATTGTTATAAATTCTTATATAATGTTATAATATAACTTTAAAATATAATTCTGTAATTACAGTAAAGAAAATCCTTACAGATATTCTATTATATATTATAATATGATATTTTCTATTATATATTATAATTATATATTATAATTCTATTATATATTATAATTTGATATTGAAAGATACACAGATAACGCAATTGATCCATTTAAATTCGAAAAATATTCACTTTCTTAAGTTCTTTATGAATTAGCATAATTTATTTGAAAGGAATTTTTTAAAAATTAAAAAATATAGGGGAAAGTGAGAGAATTGTGCGCACCTAAGGGAAATTTATTGCTGTGAGATAGCTTTTGAAGTTGAAATCGATATAAAGAAATACTAACCATAAACATATATATCTCTCTATCGATATGCATTCTCATAGTGAACAATTATTCATTTGATAATGTTGTATTTGACAAAAAATAAAAAAGTAAAAGCGAAAAAATTTCTCGCGCGTCGGATAATTGTACAGTTCACGCAATTAATGCCTTCCACCCCTGTTTTGACATTGTACGTTTCCTTCTCGGTTATTTTCACGTCCATGATCGTAGTCAGACGGAATTAAGCGGGGAGCACAGACTTTTGCATAACGCATAACATGTAATGCATAAGAAATTCAATCAATCAGAATTCTTTATTTCATGGAAAGGAAGGAAACGGAGGGCTTTGATTGGTACATTTTCTTATGCATTACGTGTTATGCGTTATGCAAGAGTCTGTGCTCCCCGCTTTATCGACAATACGCGAGTTCTCCAATCTCTATTGGCTAGTCTGGTTTGTCCGATTACGGCCATGAACGTGGAAACAACCGAGAGATAATACAACGAGAAGATAAACGCGATGTCTCGCCAATGGACGTGATGTCATTTGCTGGGAAGACAATGGGCGCATTCAAGTTGACAAAGCGGCTAGCCTGCTCGCCGAGCAAATGAACATAATTGGTTATTACTTATAGATCCAATCAATCATATTCAATCGCTCGATAAGTATGCCTAGCTGCTTTGCCATCTTGAACTCGCCCATTAATTGCGCGAGATGTACCAGCAGTTACGAGACCCTGCCTCAACCTAATGCGGGGTCTACAATAGAAGTCGTAGTGGTCGTAGGGTCTTAAGTCATAGGCTACGTTTACACCGTACGTTTAGGCTGCGGCCTAAACAATAGATGTCCTTGTTTATCCTGTAGGTTAAACAAAAACACCTATCGTATAGGTGGCGGACTAAGCGCACAGTGTAAACGTAGCTATAGAAAATTGACCAATCACAGTCGAATATGAGAAGAATAATCAACTGTGATTGGTCAATTTTCTATGACTTAAGCCCTTACGACCGCTACGACTTCTATTGTAGACCCCGCACGGCATTAGTCGTATATCAATTATTAAATAGTTTAGTCACAATTTTCAATATTAGATAAGAAATTAAGTTATTTGTAACAAGCAAAGAATAATTTGTATTTCACAGATTTTACCGACAGTTTGATAGTTTCTCAAGCATTCGTGTTCTTTGTCGCTGGTTATGAAACCTCATCGACAACGATGGCTAACACGCTTTACGAGTTGGCTTTAAATCAGAAAATACAAGATAGACTGCGTGAAGAAATTGACGAGGAATATACGAAACATGATGGAAATTTAACATATGACATCATCAAGAAAATGAATTATTTGGATAAGGTTTTCAAAGGTACGCTGTTTGAAACATAGATATTTATCTATGGTTTGAAAACAAAAGTTGATCGAATCAAAAGAAGATATGACATACCATACGTTATTTTTTCTAATTTTGTTCAATAATTTTAACATTAAAAAACGTTTTTTTAACGTTGAATAAATGTTTCTTTAAACGTTAAATAAACGTTAAATAACGTTTTTTAAACATTAAAAAAATATTTCCTTCAAATATAAAAAAAAACGTTTTTTTACAATTAAAGAAACATTTTCTTTAAATACTAAAAAAGTGTTTTTTTAACTTTTAACAAACGTTTTTTTAACGTTTAAATTAACGTTTTTTTTTATTGAAAAAAAATGAGACCTTTTACGTTATTTTAAACATTTTTGAAAACGTTTTCTAAATGTTTTCAAAAACGTTAAAAAACGTTTTCCAAACGTTTTTTTCCCCATTGAGGAGATGCAATTGTTTCGTTGTTGTTTTAATGCTAATTGTGATGCAATAAAAGTTTGGCTTGAATGACTTGCTAAGCTTGGACCCGTCAAATGTAAATTCGACAGATTTTTGCCGAAAATGAAAATTCGTTTTTAAGGTAAATGTCCCAGTAACCGGATGTTTAAAAGCGTTAGGTTCTTATAAATAATACAATTTATAATATCAAAAAGATTTTTAATATAAATATTTGTATTCATTTGAAAACTCAAGACTCCCTTAAGCAAGGAAAAATTATTTGAACCCACTTATAACAATTATTAATTAAAATATTTAAATAAATAATAGAATGCGTTAATGTATGTATCAGTGGCCGGACAAACCGGTCGGACACTGAGACGTAATTGTCCCGGACTCCCAGTGTTCGACCACAATTGGAAAATTAATATGCTAACGCGGAAAATAATAATATAGATATTTAATGACAAAAGACAACTAATTCAAATTGATCTTTAAGGTAAAAAAAACATTTGAGATTAATATTAATACAAATAAATAAAGTTTTGTATAACTGTCTGGACATAGGTACTGTCCGATCCCAGTGACTGGACATGTACCTATGTCCGGACATAAACTATGTCCATTTACATAACACTTTATTTATTTAAGTTAATATTAGTCTCAAATACGCTTTTTAAAACGTAATATTATAATTTAATTGTAATCTTTAAATGCAATTAAATTATAATACTGTAATACAAAAAGCATTTGAGATTAATAATAATAAATTTTGTGACAATCTTGCGTTTCGCGGGTTTTCTCCGTGTTTCTCCATTCCAAGAATGGATCTAAACACGGAGAAAACCCGCGAAACGCAAGATTGTCACATAGGTAACACCCGTGAAAGCCTCAAGAATATTAATAATAAATTTTGTGTAAATGTCCAGACATAGGTACACACATGTGGGACACTGGGACGTTTACCTTAGTAAGTGCCTGTTTATTAGTACTGTATTCAAGTATATGTATTGTTTTCTTATAATTAAACCGTGTATTCATTGTAAAAAAAAAGCATTTTGGCGAAAGAGGCGTCTTGACGAAATGATCGCTCTATTTTCTCGGAGTTATAAAATCGTGAGTAAATAATGCCGAAATCATTATATATTTAATATAAAATATTTTCATTGCATTTTTAAAGAAGAAAACACCCGACGTATCTCCAATATCATTATTCCGAGCATGTATAAAAATTTCGCCCCCATTTCGCTCGTGCAAATAATTATACTTTTTGAAATGAATCAATATAATGTATTTTTTTTCTTAAAGTTTACATTTTCCTCTTTTTAAAATACTACTTATTTTTATTTGTATCTTTTTTTATCATAATGATATGGTTTTTGGGAAAAAAAAAACTGATTATTGCACTCTTTTCACAAATTGTTCTTTAATATTTTTTGACATAACTTTTCCAATTATTATCAAAACCTTTTTGTTTTGATATTTTGATTCTATACATTCTGGTATTTCATTAGAAAAAAATATTTTCGATTGAGATTTGTGATAATTACAGAGCCAGTCAAAAACGCCATAACTGACTTTGACCCAGACATGTAAATTAAGACTCTAAAATGAGACATGTAGTTGAGAGTTAATAAGCGAAAAAATTAAAAATTATATTACTGGACGCACAAAAAGCATAATTAAGAAATTTAGAAACTTAACTAAGAATTTAACTAAGATCATGAACATGTTTATTTTTTAGTTCTTTTCTTTATATCAGGACAAAATGTATTCATTGTTAATATATTACTAATTAATGTTTATTTTTAAATAAGACTTTTATAAAAATCTTCTCTACGAATGAATACTTTTGCATTCATTGTACGATAGTATAGTGATTACAACATAATCTTATCACTAGTAAGACTAACTCTTAATTCTTTAATGCATATACATTATCGTAACTTTTCCATGTTTAATGTTATTCTTATTGTAGAAATTTTACGAAAACACCCACCTTTACTGTTTCTCATGAGAAAATCGATGTCGAGTTATACTTTCAATGGTATTAAAGCTACCATACCAAAAGGCCAAAAAGTATGGATTCCTATTTTCGCGCTTCAACATGATCCGCGTGTTTATCCAGAGCCAGATATCTTTAATCCAGAAAGATTTAATGAGGAGGCTGTACAAAATAGGCATCCAATGTCCTTCCTGTCTTTCGGCGATGGGCCAAGAAATTGCATTGGTACAGTAAAATAATTAAATTTAAATATCACCTTTCTTTTCTTTCTTTGCGCGCTACTTTCAATCGGAAAATTTTTATTTGGCAATCTTAATCTTAAATAGAAATATAATATTTTATTGTGGATTTTCTGATGTAATTAACAATTTAATCTCGCTAATACGGGCAACTGAGTGTAATTCAACGTTGTTTTTGGTGCGCCAAATTAATTTAATTTGTTACTATACATACAAATTGTTTGTTTGCATGTGTTTCGTCTGTATTATATTCGACTTAATTATTTGAACGTTTCAGCTCCTTCCGAGCCATGTTCAGCAAAATAATTCATTACAGCGTGTACATGCGAACAAACAATTTGTATGTATTGTAACAAATTAAATTATTAATTTGGCGCACCAAAAACAGCGTTGAATTACTCTCAGTTGCCCGTATTACACTGAAAAAGTTATAAGTATAAAAAGTAACGCGTTACAAATTAGGAGTTATGTTTTTCAGTAACGAATGACTTTTTCAATTCATTACAAGCAACAATTGACTTTTCTAACTCTGATGTTAGCATTACCATCATAAAAAATTCACAATGTCATTACCAAATCATTATTATAACAAGGTAACAACCAACAAAGTAACGCGTTATTTACCAATCCTGTTTATCCTACACAGCAGATCTTCGAGGGACATCCGAAAAACATCCAGGAGACATCTTATATCCTAAGAATATATGTTCCCATTTTTCAAATAAAATGTAAGATGTAATAATTTTTTTTATTTTCAGGTGCTCGCTTCGCCGTTTATCAGGTTAAACTTGGACTAATAAAGATGCTACGAAACTATAAAGTCGAACCTTGCGAGAAAACAGAAATACCTTACGTCCGCAATGAGGAAACATTTATATTAACACCAAAAAATGGAATACACTTGAGAATAATTAAAATAAATCGAACTTAAGTTCTCTTCTTTAATTTTCTTAAAGAACATATCTAAAAAAATAGAAAAATCTATTAAAATTCGTATTAAAAAATTGTATAAAATAAAATACAAATATAAATTATAATATAAGGAGCCACTATTCCAACCAAAATATAATATTTATTAATCTTATTAATACTGTTGTATAACAAAAATCGCGATGTTAATCAGTCAATAATTAGAGATTATTCAAATTTTATTTAAATTTAATTTATATATGTTGTTGCATGCATAAATTAATACATAATCTTTTCAACTCCTTTTTTTCGGCATTTTTTCTTAAGACAATTTATAATTCACGACCAAATTCGAGACAAAATTCTATTTATAATATTGCATATCATGTAACATAAAAAATATTTGAATAAGTAAAATACATATAGAAAATATATATCAGTGATATAATTTATAATAGATTATAGTTCACAGTAAATTTTTTACACTTTTAGAAATACTTCACTCGCGCATTAATTATAAGACACTAATTACAAATCATTGTCCTTGTGTACAATTTTTAGTTTGACATTAAATGCATTTACTTTCTCAAATGTTTCACTTTTTTACAAAATAAATAAAAATACATCGATTCAACAGTATTGAAAATAAGTATTGTATAAAAGATTTTATTAAATGATTATATATTCTTTTAAATTTTAATAAACTCTCTCATTCGTTATGGTACATTACCAATAAAATATAAAAGGCGATGAAGTAGTACATTTTGGACGGCTTTTTATATATAATATATTTACTATCTACATTATACATATATTTACTATATTTTATATATATTTATTATCATTCTGCTATCTATTAGATTTTTTTCTTAATCCTTATCAATTACGATAGGTAAGTCAATAAATAATCCTAGAAAATCAAAATATATATTGACTCATCCATATATTTACGTTATATAATGTTATCGCATAATTACGTAGTCATTTTCTTTTGAACTTTCCAAAACATCAAACTTAAGCATATTATCTCTCAATTGTGGTGACATTGGAACATAACTGGAAGAATCTGTGAGAGTACTTTTTTGCGTACATATTGTATTTTGTAGCCTTGATTTAAAATGATTGGAAATTTCTTGATGAAAATACTGTTCTGTATCCATTCTGTTTTAAGAAAAACCGAGTCACATTTTTAAACTGTTCTAATTTTATATTTAATACTTTTCTCAGGAAGTAATTGTACCTAAATAAAATAAAACAATCTTACCTATCTTCTTCTACGTATTCTAGCCTGTGTTTCTGTCGTGGTGGTAATGCTGGAGGTTCCATTTGCAAATTGCATGAAATTTTATCTTTATCCTTATATTCATTGGAAGTGAATGACATTTTAGGATAACAAATATTATCCATAATTTCTTCATAAATTCCAGAAGCAATAGAAGTATTGGATTTTCTGTAGTTACAGGAATGAAGTTTTTCACTGTACATTAAATTAGGTTCCGAGTGGTACATATTTTCCACAACTTTAGTGCTGATCGATGTTCTTAAACTGTTTTTCACATATTTTTCAAATTTAATTATGCATCATTATATTAATATTGTTACTTAATTTACTATATACAGAATGACAAAAAATTTTGGTCACAAAGTTTTGCGTGTTTATTAAATCATTACTCAAGTAATAAGCTGACGTTATTTGTCATCATTTTGATGTCAAACACATTCAAAACATCATTTTATTATCAAAATAACAGAAAACATCAGTGTGTTATCTGGATAGTATAACATATAAATATTAAAGATTCTACATCAAAATTTATTTTTAGTATTTAATAAAATATAGTTAACACTCCAAGGTTTTCTATAAATATACATTTATTATTAATAACTTGATAAACACAAAACTTTCTAGCCACCTTTGTTGTCATCCTGTACAATGATACACACCAATTAGTATCTGTATTAAGCATACAAAGAGGTGCATCACTCTTTAATGGTGAAGAAAGACTACTGATTTCATTGTGTTTCCTCGTTTCAAGATTCTTGCCATCAGAATGTAAAAATTTTTGTCGTTTTGGACCACGACCCTGTGTTACCAAGTCTTGAAGTAACTTATTAGCGTCAAGACAGAATATGTAGAGTTCTCCAATGCCACAACAAAACTCTTTACTAGTATGTATTACACAAATACGCTTTACATCTTCTGGACGACCTGCTGTCATTAAATGGAATTGAGTGAATTCCTTCCATTTGAAAGTTTTAGCTATCTCGCCTGTGTGAACATTTCTAATGAAAATTCCTGTTTGGTTAGCAATCAAATCTCCATATAAACCTGCCAAAGAATGAAAATCGTTGATATTCACAGATTCACTAAATTGAGAATGGCTTCAACAATATATACAGGGTGTTTCCAAATTAAATGGCAAAACTTCGGGAGCGTGTAGAGGAGTAAAAAACTAAGAAAAAAAGTCCTATAGACATATGCTCCTTTTTGCTTTGTTTCGCAGGAAATCACGAAAAAAGAAAAAAATATATTTAATTTATTATTTTAATTATTTTATTTATAAACTTTTTAATGAAGATTTTGTTCGAAATGTGCACCTCTTGCAGCAATACAAGCATTGCATCTGTCAAACACGGCTCTTGTAGCAGCCAGGCCTTTAAAGCATTACCGTTGCAGAAACCGTATACAAAAACCATATCAGCATATTCACTATTAGAATACGTACGCGGCATATTGCAAAAGACAAAATTCATCTACTGTTAAAGGCTTTCAAAGAGCGACTGACAAATTCATAACAGAAAGTGGAAAATGTAATCAAATATGTCGGTGCTAGATATGGCAAGAAATGTAAACATTTTTTTTCGATTTCTCTGAAACGGAGCAAAAACGAGCATATGTCTATAGGACTTTTTTTCTTAGTTTTTTACTCCTCTACACGCTCCCGAAGTTTTGCGATTTAATTTGGAAACACCCTGTATATATCTAGATCAAATGTGTAAATGTTTTTTTCCTAAAAAACATAAAATTGACATATTGACAGAAAAAGTATAGGACTATTTTTATATACTTTCTTTCTTTTCCTTCAAGTATCAGTATTGATTGAAAAAAAGGAGAGTATGTGCTTATAGTTTTCTCTTTTCAATTAACATTGGTTACTTAAAGGAAAAGAGATACATAATGATAAAGTCTGCATAATTAATTGTTCTTCATTGAATAATTTCTCTATCAATCAGTTAGCTTCACCAGAAGTTAAATACTTGGTTTAGTTGTACATATTGGTATTTTCCAGCAAAAAACAGTGTAAAACACAGCAATCATTTCATCTTTGTTTAGCATTGTAAACAAGGCTGTAATAATTCACTGTCATGCCATATGTGTGTCTCTTATTAGAAACACTCTTAAGCTTGATTTCATCAATATAAGATTGACTTTAATCTCGGTTCAATTTATTCTTTATTGTCTCCTAATTTTAAGAATAAGAAAAACGTAAAGAATAAGTTAATCAAAATTGAAGTTAATCTTATATTAGTGAAATCGGGCCTATATCGTTGGCTAGCTCCAAACTGACAATTATACCAACCAATTAAACCTGCTGCCTTCGAATGTGCATTATCAACCATGGATACATCATATGATCTCTCAATGCAACAGTGCCTTCTGGGCTTCAACAAGTATCTGATATTCGCCATCCAACGCTGCGTCTCAGTCTCTGAATTAGCGGACAATGATAACAGAGGCTTCCTATCCACTGCCGATGATATACTAAATGCGAATTGCTTCGTTCTGGACAGAATACGATGTATGATGGCATTTGATGGTATCACCACTGAGCTGTCCTTTTCGTTTTGCTTCAAAGCGTCGTGGCAGCTGAGTTTCTGATCAAACTGCACTTGCAAGCCCAGACCGGGTCCCAACTTCATCATTGAGCACCATAAGCGTTTCCATACCCTCGACAGGGCCAAAGCCCTTTTCCTCACTCTTTGTGCGATCTTTGCGTTGTATCTTTTTCCCGTTGACTTAACGTAGAGAAATCCACAAATTTCCGTGTCGTGCATACTCATTCTCTAAAGAGGCACGTCAAATTGGCACAGGGAACCTTGAGTAGACGTATCGTTATGAGACGTAAATGTTAACAAGACCTCGTACACTTCAAATTTTGATGAAAATACACCGAATTGATGTGTTTTCGTGTAAAAATAAAGATTTGACAAGAAAAAAGAATAATAGTTGAATTTAGCTTCTTTACCTCCGATGTTGATAAAACCAGGCTCATTCGATTCTGCACGAAATGAACGAACCAACTGGCAAAAAAAGTGAAGTTGACAGATATTTGGGCTAGAAAATCTATCATGATCTATCGCACCCGATTGCGGGTGCATTCAGAACAACAACTGTTCACTGAATGCTCAGTGAGCACTTTCATTTGATTGGTCTATATTTTAGGATTTAACGGAATATGCCAATCAGTAAACAAGATGATATGACATTCGGACCAGTCCAGACTCTCTACTTCTAGGGACTCTAGACATTCGGGAATCAGGAAACACCCTCTGATGGCTCTGATGGGAATCCGAACTATTACGAACATGCCCCGGTGTGATAAAAGAGGTCATCACCATTTTTTCCTTCTCAAATATTTTTTACGTGAAAACACACATCGATTGAGTGTAATTTTATCGAAATTTAAGTGGAACTGATTATACTAAATATTTATTTATAAGTAAGGGTCTGAGCACAAGAATTGTCGCAACGGTCGTAAAGCTCAAGACACAATGCGAGGGAATAGCGATAGCGATAGGAACAACACGATTTCAATCTATTAGAAATCGGATACACCGGAATACACAGTTTCTGATAGGTTGAAACTATGTTATTCCTATCGCTATCGCTATTCCCTCGCATTGGCTGCGTTCAGCAGACTCAACAGTTTTGCAACCGTTTTATGATTGTCTGCTGAGATAGGACCATTCTTCTAGATCTAAAAGTATGATCCAATTAGCGCGAAGGAAACTTCCAACAGT